AGCTCATGGAGGCAAGAGCATGAATTTGCATGCAGACTCTCTGTGTGTGAGGCCTCCTGGGCACTGATCATAACTGCCTCAGTGCAGCCCAGGAAAGGAAGACATGCCCTTGCCTCTAGGGGACCTGATTAGGAAAGGCAGGCCCTAAATACAGACATTGGGACTTTTTATCAACCATAATGAGGTATAATTTACATTCAATACAATGCATCTGCATTTGTTTAAAGGCTATAGTTCAGCAGATTTTAAAATAAATTGTGATGTTTGCACCCAAAAACAATATAAATAAATAAAGGATACAGTTCAATGAGTTTGATGGTGAGCACCCATGAAACCACCCGTCTGTTGAGACACAACATTGCCATCACCCCAAAAGATCCATATGCCCCTTGTTAGTCTTTGGCTCCCTCTGCCCCAGCACCAGGCAGCCACTGATGTGCTGTCACTGTGGATTAGTTTGCATTTTTAGAATTTTGTATAAATGAAATTATAACATGCACTCTTCACGTCTGGCTTTTCTCACCCAGCGTGATGATCCTGAGATTTAATCCTTGTGGTTGCCTATGTCAGTGGTTGCCCTGGGCAGATTATGGAGGGGTTTCTACCCAAGTTTAGACTTCCCATTTCGTTGCTATAACTGCAGGTATCCTCATCAGTGCTAAGGCCAACAAATCAGGAAAGTAACCTGTTGTGGTCACTTCCTCCAAGTTTGGCTTCCCTCCAAAATGCTCCTGCTTTTGTTTACACTTTAGAGATTTTTAAAACTTTTTTTTATGCCTCTGCCTCCCAAGTATCTGGGACTATAGGTGCCCGCCATAGCGCCCAGCTATTTTTTGGTTGCAGCCATCATTGCTATTTGGCAGTCCGGGGCTGGATTCAAACCCGCCAGCTCAGGTGTATGTGGCTGGTGCCTTTGTGGCTTGAGCCACAGGCACCAAGCCAATTTTTAAAACATTTTATCCTGAGTTCACAGTTGTAATCCATAAAGGGACTGCTTACTCTTAGAGCTAATTCCTCCATGACAGAAGTCAACACACAATAGTATTTCATTAGTATTCTTCATGTCCATTCAACTAAACCCCCAGTTTAGGGAGAATAAGCTTAGTGACAGCTCAGTGCCATGGATGGAGACCCAGAGATCTGGTTCTTCATCTCAACTCTTCCCTTCACCCTGTCTGAGCAAGTTGCTCCCCAGTCTCCATATGTGTGAACCTCAAGGTCCCTAACCTTTCCAGCTCCCACATCCACCCCTTCTACAGGATGTAGGGTGTAGAAACCAAGCTGCAAGCCTCAGATCCCTCATCAGCAAAATAAGAAAAACCATTCATTCACTCAACAAGTATTTATTTAATGTTGGCTAAGACTCAGAAAATGACTGAAGTCCTGGGAATAGAGCAATAGAAATGCAGCACCCGTTTTTATGAAACAGACAGTCTAATGGAAGGGACAGGCCAATTGAACAACCGTGTACATGATGTAATATCAGGCGGTGAAACTGCCTTGAAAGGGAAAATAAATTAAGAAAGAAAACAAATAGTGATGACAGAAGGTGGTATTTTGGTTAGAATGGGAAGGGAAGACCTCTCCAGAGAAGGGTCATGTTGATAGAGACCTGAAGTGAGGAAGTAAGGCAAGAAGACAGGCAGAAGAAAACAGAGGAGAGAGGAACCACAAAAGCTCTGAGATAGGAATGTTCCTGCCATAGTCAAGAACCAGCAAGGAGGCCAGAATGGCTGAACGTGAGTGAGCAAAGAAGACAGAAGCTATGAGATCAGAGAAGTAGCCACGGGCTTGGCTTTTGTTGCAGTAAGTGGATCGCTTCTCGGCCTTTTGGCTAAGATCAAGTGTCCAGTGAGTAAGTGGAATGAGAAGCTATGGAGTGCTTAGAGCAAGGACGTGGCATGAATGAACAAGAATGCTTCTGGAAGAAACAGAAGTAGGGAGATCACTTAGAGGCCTACTTGACCCATCCCATAGAGACACAAAAGTGGCTTAGATCAGGGTGGTGTTGACAGAGGTGATCAGAAGTGTTCAGATTCTGGATGTATTCTGAAGTCAGCCCTGAACAGCATTGGACATTGAAATGGATATCGAACATGAGAGAGAAGAAGACGGTACATATGATTTCAGGGGTTTTGGCCTGAGCAACCAAAAGAATGGAGTCCCCATTGCTGAAAGTGTGGAAGGCTGCAGAAGAGACGAACTTGGGCAAGAGAGAAAGAATCCAGGCGTAAGTTTTGAAAATGTTAAGCTTGAAATGTGTATTAAACATAGGAAAGATGTCAAGTAAGAAGATGGATACACAAGTATAGAATTCAGGGAGAGAGGTTCAAGTTACAGAAATAACGTGGTACCTCTGATCTCCTCTCTGTGCTACGCACCCTCTGATCCTTTCTCTGGGTTGAGTTCATTCTTGGTTTTACCCTACTGAAAGTATTCTCCAAATGAGCAGCCTGGTTATTCTCTGCTTGACAAAAATCAGAGACAAAATCAAGGTAGCTGGGTCCCAGTCCCAATTCAGAAATGTAGAGTGAGCTGAAAAGAGCATTTCTCTCACTCTTAACAAACTGCAAATTAATGATTTTTATTAATCCTGTCAGGGAACTGCAGCCACAGGGTAATGTCCTGACCTGCAAGCTGGAGAAAGACCTGTGCCTGGAGGGAGGAATAGATACTGAGCTTTTGCTTCCCTGGGGCAGACACTGCTCGATATCATCTAAGCTAATAAGAAGAACTCAGGTAAAAAGCCAAATACGGGCTACTGTGAGAGTGTAAGTACCCTGAGGACCACGAATGGAGATGCACTGGCATCCTCTTGCAGTTCACCCTCCGTGACTCTCACCAGACACATGCAGGGGAGATCTGGGATAATCCCAAGACAGCTTCCCTCGTGGTCCTGGCTGGGGAGGGCAACAGAAGTCACTGCTGAGACTATGCATCGTCCCATTTCTTCTATTTTCCCTGTGGGACAAAAGTCTTCGTTTTCAGGCAGAAGAATAATAAAACTTCTAGTTAGGTGAATCTCATTCCACCTAAAAGAACAAAACAGCTCCTCCCTGGGGAGAGATGGGAATACGTGCTAGACACTCTGCAACTGGAAGGGGGGGAAAGAGCCCCTGGGAAGGCCACACAATAGATACCAAGGGATATAGTGTCCTGGGACTGATGGTTAAGAAGTAGAGAATTTGGCCCTGGTCCTCCACAAAGCTAAGAAGCACCAAGTAAAAATAATAGCGAATACAGTTACAAGGGCTTCAAAAGGCAGATCCTCTCTGGAATACAATGGAAATATCCAAGGCCAAAAATGGAGCATACATTCTAAATGCAATAAATGACAAGAGGAATTTGAAGCACATGGTGTACTAAGGATAACCATAATTGCAATCAAACTTCAAACCCAACTCAGGACTAGATGAACAGAAACCCCAACATTAAAGGCCTACCAGAAGGAAAAGTGTGTCCATCTCTGATCATGAAAAGGATTCATCTCAGTATCTCCTATGATATAAATATCTCCATCTTCAAATTTAAAAATATGAAGTCTAGCCTCCATGGTTGGACCAGGGCTGGGATGTACCATTTCCTTGTCTCTCTGTGGTGGCTTGCCCAGCACGCAGCCTGTGACTGACTGAATGTACAGGCCTTCCAGTGAGTGTGGACTGTGGGGCTGGTGTGGGAAGCACAGAGACTTCTTTCCCTTTCACATTTCATTCATGAGCATTTTCATTATAGAATTTTAACGTGTTGCTGCTAAAAGAGACCTCAAAGGTATTATCTGTGCCCACATTGTAGAGATGTAACAGCCCAGAGAGGACAAGTTAAAACTCAAGCCTGGCTCAGGGCCAGTGATGTTGTGTGGTGGGTCCTAGGCAGGACTCTGGGGACACAGATCAAAGCAGGGGGACCCTGCCCTTGAGAAAGTCCAATTGAGTGAAGGAGACAGACTCACATGCAAAATATTGTAGAACACAGTGACTGGGGGAATCACAAGGTTTGCACGGTGCTTCCAAGATGCTTCACCTTCAGTCCACCCCAACTACAGGAAGGGGCTGCTGCCCACTGTAATTTGAGGTTCCCAGAACATCTGCTTTCCAAGAGGACTCACTTGCACCTTGCCACCTGACCTCACCCCACCCTTGGTTATGGCACAAGTACAGAGGCACAGGCAGTCTCTGGAATCTGCATTAGCCTCCCCTGTGGAGGAAATGAAAAATCCTGGTCCTTTTCCTCTAGAAAAGAACGTTCTATCCAAATCACATTCAACTAGGTTTGATTCTACCTTTGGCTCCTAAAATGTGGCTTCTTATCAAGAGACTTAGCCCAAAATTATGATTTGGTGTAAAGTTTAGCATATGCTTGTCTGCAGGATGTTTTCGTTTTAGCGTCCCATGACATAGGGATATTTAACAAGCACCACCAACGCTTATAAACTTAGGAAACTATCCAAGCATTCTGTATTCATCCAACGGTGCCCCAGAAGACAACAAGAGTTGTTTATCTGGTACAAGTCCAGCACTCAGTGCTTCCCAGGCCCTGCCCCAGTTCCAACTGCACCCACTGAACTTAGTGGAGAGCGGCCTGTTAATCAGCTGCCATTGGCACAGCTGCTGCAGCCACAAGCTCAGGTGCTTGGGGTTTATACACAAATCAGTCACATAAAATAAAGGCATTTTGCCAGGATAAATATGTTCTAAGGGTAGAAAAAAGATTTGCAGGGTTTGTTTTCTAAACTTGTTTTGAAACTACTTATAAAAATGTACTTTAGAAGAGAAAGTTTTATAGAATGCCATGAGTGTGAAACAAGGTGTAAAATATCAGTAGCTGAGCATTGTAATTGCTGAGACTTCAGGAAAAGAGAAAAAGTAAATACAGATGCTGGCCTCCTGACCACTTGTCCTAGAATCAGACTGTAGACAAAGGTTTACGGGAAAGCCCCAGCTGAAAAGACCTCTAGAGGCAGGATTTGTTCATGGCTGCCAAGAGGAGACTGGACCCCAAACTATCAAAGTGGAGATTTGCAGAGAGAGACCCAGCAAATCAGTGCCCAGCCAGGCCCAGGGGGTGTGGAGGAAGCTCAATGTGCCAGCATTGCCTCAGTCCACACAGTCACCAGAACCCACCCTCTTTATTGATGGACTGGTTGGAATCTCAGCTATAAAAATTCCAGTTCTGTACAGCCTGAGAAGGGGCCCCCCATGGTGAATTTACTGTGGTTCTTACTTTAAATGACTCTGCTTTGTGAAAACCTCCATTTACATGAGCAATAGCATATGATGATCACAGCACATCAATGATTTACAAATATCACTTGGAGAGGCCCTCAAGATGCCCATCTTATAGATAACTAAACAGAAGACCCAGAACAACACCCGCTCAGCACCACAGCCCAGCTGAAGAACTTGATGTAAAATGGTCTCCCCTAAGTAACTGGCAAGTCCCCATATGGAGAATGCTTGTTTCAAAACAGATTTTAGCCATAGGAACCTCCCCTTTCTTTCTCAAAATAGGATGAGCTGCCTGATTCTTCCCTGTCTTATAACAAGGCACAGGGCTTATTATATAATCATCATGTACATTTAAGAATATGAGTATATGGGGTGGCGCCTGTGGCTCCAAGGAGTAGGACGCTGGCCCCATATGCCAGAGGTGGCAGGTTTCAACCCAGCCCTGACTAAAAACTGCAAAAAAAAAAAAAAAGAATATGAGCAAATGGATCTTCACGTCTAGCAGCCTAAGGTCAAGTTCTTCAGAACAGACCACAAACCTGGCCTGTCATACACACACAAACACACACCCAAGCAAATGCCACCGCAGACAGATGGGGCGATCTCTCTCAAGTCCCAGAATACCCTACAGCGCACATATGGGCAGAGCTTCTCAGGAATCCAGGTGATGGTCCTTTGCCTGGATTTTTGAGCACAGAGATTCTGAGTGCCAATCTGAGCACCCAGCAATTTCACATTTAGCTGTTTCAAAAACAGCTAAAAGAAGTTCATCTGGGAAACAGTCATTTGACACCTTTGCTGAGATAACTCCGTCAAAAATTCACCTCCCACTCCCTCCATCACTACCAAATCCTCGAAGTTTGTCAGTGGCAGAATGCTTGCTCTCTGGTCCTTGACTATTCTATAACTTCTAGATATATATATATATATATATATGATCTCAGAAAGTAACATGAATTTTAAAAAAGAGTAACCCATATTGATAGAACTTGACACTTTAGAGTACCTTCATGCATACTATTTCAGTAGTTACCAAACAGGAGTCAATTGAGTACTGCCTTTAAGATTTCTGTTATACCCACACATCAGCTATAACATTACTAACTCAACGACCTGAAGCACTGACTTTGGAGATGCCTCGGTTCCATGAGGAGCTCTATGGATTCTCCACCAAAACAACTGGAATTGGAGGAAAAAGAAATTTTTTAAAAGACACTTTAAAGGAAACTGGTTTAACCATCTAAGTAGAAACTGAACATACTTCAAATAAAGAGTCATTGATTCAAGAAAATCTATGAAATCTCAGTGAGAAGGGCAAGCGCCATATGAGCCACAACCTGCTTTCTTCCTGCCCACTACTCAGCTGAGCATAGCAGAATCTCCATTCTAGGCAGATATGATCAAAGATGGGGCTCCCACAACTCCCATCTCCCAGGTAATGGCTATGGTATCTCCCAAACAGATGCAGGCTAATAGTACTCAGCTCTACTTTAGCTCCACACTGCAGAGCTTAAGTACCAGGCCAGTGTGACTGAGTGGTAAGGGGCTCCCTCGCCGCACCTAGCTCATACTACTCACGGGCCAGATGTTCTACCGCATTACATGGCAAGCCAAGACTACCATGGCAGATCCATCCTCACTTCAGCTCACTCACAACACAAGTTCCATGTCAGGAGGAAGGCCAAGAGCATGAGAGGCTATTGTCCCAGCCCCTTGCTTGTAAAGGTATGACCCTGAGAGAAGTGGGCCCCTAAACCTGGTGAACCACCTGCTCTGGAGAGGTGTCTGTTAGATTTTTATGATGGGAGAGAGGCAGGTTATAAAAACAAAGGGCTCCCAAGATCTCCATACAGGAACTCAGTATATGTGGAAGAGAGTGTAAGGAAGTTCAAACCTAGGGGCATTCTCAAAAACAACAGAGATTTTTACAGTAAGGAATTAAGAGGGGACTGGTAGCCCAAAGAGAGCAGCAGGAGAAACTATAGGCCAGTTTCCCAGAAAGAATCAAGTTAAAGGTCCCTCTTGGGATCAGAACAAACCTCAAAGACTAGCCTCAAAAGCTACCCCTCAAAGAAGTCTGAAATTAATAGATCAAATTATGGAACTGGAAATTAGCAGAGCCTAACATCTTTGTGTGGCACCAACACAGGCAGACAGCTTAACAAAGATTTCAGGTAAGAGGCAGCAGAAGGGAACGCTACTAAAGCCACAGGCTAGGAAGACTGTGAGCATGTCTAAGGCTATGCATTCTGAGATGGGACATAAGATGTTTACACTGGAAGGGAAGTAGACTTTAATAAGTTGTTCAGGCTCAGCGCCTATAGCTCAACCGGCTAAGGCACCAGCCATGTATACCTAAGGTGGCGGGTTCGAATCCCCAGCCCGGACTCGCCAAACAACAATGATGGCTGCAACCAAAAAATAGCCGGGCGTTGTGGCGGGCGCCTGTGGTCCCAGCTACTTGGGAGGTGGAGGCAGGAGACTCGCTTGAGCCCAGGAGTTGGAGGTTGCTGTGAGAGTGATGCCACAGCACTCTACCCAGGGGGACAGCTTGAGGCTCTGTCTCAAAAAAAAAAGTTGTTCAGTCTGGTCCCTAAATGAACAAACAAGTAAACAACAAAAAGTCCTGGTAGTAGTGATCAAATCCAGAGTGGTAAAACAAATTATGGAAAAGATCAAGTTTCAATAACAACAAAAAATCACAACACTTGAAAAGAAATGGTGTCTTAGATTGGCCTGCTATGCCACAATACCAGAGACCAGCTGATTTAATAGACATTTATTTTTTATAGTTTAACAAAATAAGATGTCCAAGATAAAGGTACCAGCAAACTCAGATGCTGGTGAAAGCCCATTTTTTTGTTTGTAGCCAGCTGCCCTCTCACTGTATTCACATGGTGTTGCCTAATGAACACGGAAAGAGAGGGGATCAGCCAGCTTCTTATCAGAAATCACAAAACCAGAAGACAGTGGAATAACATTCCAAAGGCTCAAAAAACACATTTTCAATCAAGAATCCTATATCCAGCAAAACTATTTTTCAAAAATGATGGCAAAATAAATATATTTCTGATAAACAAAAACCACGAGAACATGTTGTTAGCAGACCCACACGACAAGAAATAATAAAGGAAGTTCTTTGAGCTGACAGCAAGTTACCCAGACAGCAACCTGAATCCATATGTTAAAAAAAGTACCAGTAGTTCTTTAGAATGTTTATTCCATGTGGCTCACAAACTTTAGCTGAATTCCCCTTATGTGGGTTATCACGTGTCTGACTTTTTGTGTAATTTGTTCAGTAATGTAAGTACATTCTGGTGCATTTTTAACTTAAAAAAAAAAAAAGTACCAGTAAAGGCAACTCCATAATTATAAAAGGCAAGATAAAAGCATATTTCTTTTTCTTTCTTCCCTTAACTGATTTAAAAGCAATTACATAAAACAGTATGTACATAATTATATTGTTGAGCCAATACCATGTAGAAATGTATTTAACAATAATAGCAAAAAGGAGATGGTGGGAGCAAAGCTGTATGGGAATAAGAAAATGACACCAAGTGGAAATGAAAATTTACAGAAACACATAAAGTGAACGTGCCAGAAATGGTACGTAAGAAAGCTAATAAACAAATTATATAAATAGGTACTTCTTCTCTAAGCATCTATAAAATTATATGGCCATAATTATAATAATGCACTGTTGAGTTTATAATATTAATGCATGTAATGTGTACAATAATATCATAAAAGAGGTAAGAGGAAATACATTTATGTTGAATTAATGCATCGGTATCTCAAGGGAATTAAGTTATCATAAAATCTGAAGTTGATCATGTTAAAATACATGTGGTAAATCCTATGGCTACTACTATTCAAAAATTGGGACAATATCATTAACGAAATTGGAATGTTACATTCGAAAATATTCAACTAATGCAAATGAAACCTATAAAAGGGAAACTAAGGAAGAAAGATATATAAGACATATAAGAAACAGAGTAAAAAGGGCGGCACCTGTGGCTCAAAGGAGTAAGGCACTGGCCCCATATGCTGGAGGTGGCAGGTTCAAGCCCAACCCTGGCAAAAAACTGCCAAAAAAAAAAAAAAGAAAGAAAGAAACAGTAAAACAGAAGAAGTAAATTCAAATATGTCAATAATACTCATGTGAATTCATTTAAAAAGTGAATAATTAGAGATCGGTGAATTGGATAAAAACGAAATATCCAATTATATATTATCTACAGGGGGCCTGCTTTGAATTCAAAGATAAATTAGGTTGAAATGAAAAGGCTGGAGGAAGATATATTACCCCCAAAACAACCACAGGAAAGCTACAGTGGTTATATATACGTAAGACAAGATAGATTTTTCAATATTGCTAGACAACAATGTATATATACTTCAAAACATTTATTTTACACAATAAATACAATTTTATTTGTCAATTTATAATTAAAATTAAAAAGGAACATTTTATAATGATAAAATTGTCAATATATTAGAATGAAGAAACAATCATAATGTATTCATCTAAAAATATACTCCCAAAATAAATGATGCAAAAATGAACAGAACTGAAGGAAGAAATAGAAAATTCAACAATACTAGTTGGAGTCTTAGTGGATAGAACAAATAGAAGATCAATATGAAAACAGAAGACTCAAATAACATTGTAAGTCAACTTCATCTGATATCTATAGATCATTCCATTCAATAACAGAAAAATCCACATTCTTCTCAAGTGCACAAGGAACATGCTTCTGGATTGACTATAGCCTATAAATCAAGCCACCATTAATTAAAATGAGTTAAAATCATGTAAA